GAGTCTTTCTCCTTCTCCTTCTCTTCTCTTATTATTTAAGACCTACACAGGCAAATCGGGGAGGGGGAATCACTGTGGCAAAATCCCCTAGTGAATCTTCTACTTCTCTGAACTCTGGACTTGAGAAGAATTTCACTGCATTTTAAAATTCTAAGTAGTCAGTTTGTTTTCACCCTTCAGCTGAGTAGGTTTTCACCTTTTAGTTGTGTGTGGGTCTTTTTCCCACAAGATTTTGGAGCATAGGTTTTCACAATTAAGCAACTCAAATCAAATTTGCATGCACAGAGCCACCACATGGTTATCGCATATAGTATAGGGATAGACAAAAGACACGACTCAAACATCACGGGAGCAAGCCCCTCAAAGCTGTTCGGCAGCCCCTGGGAAGAAGCTCTCATGTGAGCTGCGTCTCCACTTGATTGCCAGCTGGACTGCTTGCTAGTTGTGAGGCTATGCGAGTTCCTGTGCCTCCGTTTCCTACCCGGCCGATGGAAACACGAGTTCCCAGTCTAAGAGCCCTGGGGAGGTTAAAGGAGAAAATGTCAGTCATATCCTTTCTCAGCCCAGTCCTCGAAATCAGTGAAGTGGTCACAAAATATTGACTTTTCTCATTATAAAATCACCTCCTTGGCTTTGTCATCCCATTTCCTGTTTAGCAGCAACTGAAGGAGCCATAGGAACCACCCCCTCCACTGGCGTCTGGCTATTTTCGAGGCTCCATTTGGAATGGGATGGGCCCAGCAGTCCAGGGAGTTGGAGGGTGGGAGGGAGGCATTATTCTCCGGGTTGCAGCTGTGGCAGCCAGTACAGTATCCCCCACATGCCAGATGAATCAAGCTGAGGGCCAGATCTGGGCTGTGGGCCAGAGGTTCCCCACCCTGATTTATAGTGTGGACAGAGATGTGGGTGTTTTGTGAATATATTTTGATGATGATAAAAAAAAAAAAAGAACGAGGGGAAAAAAAAACACCATTCCTTAAAAATGTGCTGAGGGAGGGAGGCTGAGGCCTATCTGCAAGATTAGAGCAGCCTGACTGTTAGCAGTAGCAACTCGTTAGGAAGAGGCCCCAGGAAGAGCAGCTTGTGAGAGGCAGTGCCCCTGAGAAGGCAGTGAATTGTGAATGAGGCCCCTGTATGCCAGCGACTGGGGGCAGATTCGGCTTGCTGGCCCCTCTGCAGCTGTGTAACAGGGGGCTCAGCCTGCATTTTAACCCCTCACGTCCCCAAGAGCAGATAAAGGGAGCACGCGGTTTGCTGGGCTCTGGGGAGGCTGTGAGTTCCTTGCTTGGGCAGCACTCCCGGTTATCTAGAAACAGTCTAGATTTGCCTTTGGAGGCAGGCTTAGGTCGTTACCAGTGGGCAGCGTACAGGAAGGCTGACCTGGATGGAGTTTGGAAAAAAACAACAAAAAAAAACACCACAAAAACACATCAAGGATTTACTCTCAACCTTTAGCCCAACACATTTGAGAAAGCTCCCAACTCTTGGATGGAAATGAGCCTGCACTGCAGGAAAGGGGGACTCTGTTTGAAATGTCCCCCTCCCAGGCAAGGTGGAGCCAGGCACAGCCTTCTCTCCTTTCCTCATGAAATGTCAGCCCAGGCGCCCTGGCTTATTGTATTCCATCTGGGAAAGCAGTTCACCCAGGTTTCCTAGGACCTAAACAGAGCTTTGAAAGCAAGAGATTTACTCTGCAGAGATGAGTCCACTCACAGACATTGTGCTGGAGCATGCAGCACATAAAATCAAGGCGGTCTGCAAATGCTTCTTTCCCAAGGGAAGGGCAGTAAACACTGTCATGCCAATAGCCTACGGTATCTGATAAGCGCAATCTGGTTCTTTCCCCTCGCCTCACACTCTCCCAGCATTAGGTCTTCTGTTCAAAGCCACCCTCATCCTCCTCCCCAGCAGACCCCTCACCCCACCAGGCTCCTGTTTGCCTTTAAGTTTTTGCTTCTTCTGGAATCTTTTTGCCCTCTGATAAGTGTAAGCCTCTCCATCCCTTTGCTTCTTCTGGAATCTTCTTGCCCTTTGATGAGGGTAAGCCTCTCCATCCTTTTGCTTCTTCTGGAATTCTCCTGCCCTTTGATAAGTATAAGCCCCTCCATCCTTTCACATGGCCAGTTCCCTGAGGAAATAGCCCCATATATCCCAGCCCACCCAGCCCACCCAGCCCTCAGTATTGTCCTGCTCGGGGCTTCGGCCACATATTGCTTGTGAGCACACCCTCCTGATCTCCAAATCTCTCTTCTAGTCCAGAGGAGCAAGAAAGCTTGACGGGTGAAGGACTGGTGAAAACGTCTGCAGGAGAAAGGTGAGTCTCCCTGTTTGGCTCTCCTCCAAATCCTATTGGAGCTTGTCCTGCGAGGGTCTTTCCCCCACTTAATTACAGATCGCCCACGCGCCGGAGTCCAACCCTTTGAGCCTACGGTGATTTCCTCCAGCAAGCAGAGCTCCTCTCACCTTGAGTCCTGGAAGTTCTCTGCTTTATGTCTGCGATGAGAACTAAGACTGCATGAGCGGGGCTCTGGTCTGTATCACTCGGGGCTGGCTCCTTCAAGGAGCAGCCAGAAGCCCCTGAAGTGAAATAAAGTGGCTTCCTGGGTGCTTCTTTTTTATCTTTTTTTGTGGGGGTTACTGGTAATTGCACTCAAGACCTCATGCTTGCCAGGCAGGCGCTATGCCCCTGAGCTAAATTCCCAGCCCTTCTTTCTTAATTTCTTACTTTCTCCGTCAGATTTTGACAAAAGATTTCTATATGCAGTGTGCACGTGTGTGCTGTGTATGCTATGGCAGGAGAATGTGCATAGGGCTCTTGTTCATTCTCTTTTGTCTGGAGAAGCAGAAATGGGTGTCTCTTCCTAGCAGTGTTAGAGAGCCGCAGTGGGGGCCCCTCATGCATGTCTGCTTCCAGCTTGCTCAGAATGTCTTTTCCTTACGGTGTGGTTGGAGGGAACCACTAAGTTCTATCACCGCCTCGGACTACCTCCCACTCCCCACGTGGTGCCCACAAAGACCGTGTGCTCAGTTGATGTTTGGTGACATTGTACATATTCTTAGCAGATCGGGAAGGTTGAGGCTGTTTGTGACTCAGGGTGCTCGCGTTTCGGTTTGACAAAGATCAAGGTTTCTTTTCGCCCACAGTCCTGCTTTTTGATAACCTGGCAACAGGCAAACTCAGTCACTGCCTTGGTGGGCTCTACCTCAGCATTTGAAAGCGTGCATCGGGGGTTGGGCCTCAGAGAACTCGGGTTTGCTTTGAGATCCTGCTGCAAAATGGATCGCGCGCGTGGGTTATGGGTTCAGGCTCCTCTCAACCCTAGGAAGAGACTGTTGCCTAGGAGTGTAGGGGAGCCTGTTTAGAGAGCAAATGTGTTAATTATGAATGGTTCTTATCTTGTCATTAAAGCAGATCTGGTAGCCCTTGGATAGCTGTTAGTTCCATGCTACTGTACTGGCTGGGCGGTTATGAAACTATATCTCTTTCTAAAATGACCCATCACGTATACCAACCTCCTCTGCACCCATTAGCCCGATTGCTTTGACTTGATGGTCCAGACTTGGGCTGCTCGGGTACAGGATTTCATTTCTGTCTGCAGCTTCAGGCAGAGCCTATGCAGAGAGATCCGGTTTGAGTACCACCCCCACCGCACACCCCTACCCCCACCCCCGTGCCCAGCTGCATAGACACCACCCTCCCTCCTGCTGGAAGCTAGCTATCTATCTAGTTCCTGTTCTGCTTCTGTTCCCTGCTCTGGCAAGCTTTGCTAAGGGCCACACTGCAAGTTGGGAGTTCCTGATAAGATCCTGGGGCATGACTTGCAGGCATTCTTGCATATTAATAGGAGTTTCAGGAGGCCTAAAGCCCCCCTGGATGGAGGCCACTGCGTTGGGATGAGACCTCCCAGGGTAGATAGTTTTCAAGTGATTCTCCATAGAAGACACTGGCTGGGTGGGGCAGGGGGAGGGATGCTCAGCACCGTGTGAGTGGAGACAGTACAGTCGATCTGGGGGCGTTCTGGGGCACTGGGAAACCCTGCCCCCACTTACTCAATCATTCTTTCCTGGTGCGTGAAGTTCCCACAGTGTCTTCAGGTAGCTTAAAGTCTGCACAGAAGACTGAAAGCCTTTACCCAGTGTTTCTGAACCTTCAGTCGGCTTCCCTTTGATTTAAATATCTCAGAAACAGAGAATGAACCCTATGTCCCATTGACACAAAAACAGAAATTTGGAAATCAAATCCAGACACTGCTCACTGATTAACTTTTAAAAGTTGAGCATTTTATATTGAGCCTTAGTGCTAGTGCTCAGCCCTCATATGATAATTAGGTACAATTATATCCCCATTTTCTAGATAAGCAAACTGAGGCTCAGACACATTAATCTTGAAGTAGAGGCACTGGAATTAAAATAGAGACCAGCATAGAGCATAGAGTTTTGAAGTCAAGCTGTAGAAATATTTATTGTTTTATAGACAAATGTGAAAAATTAAATCATGTTTCTTTTTTTTCCATTTTCATTATTTTTTATTTTTTGGAGACACTGTCTTGCTCTATAGTCCAGGCTGACCTAGAATTCACTGTCATGCCCCAGGCCCCCCACACACACCGCACCCCAGTTCTGGGACCACAGGTGTGCGCCACCGGGCCTGGCGTGGCATGTTGCTCTTGTGCATGTTGTCTGGAGGGAATCTGGAGGGGATCTAGGCCCTCCCTGGGACAGCAGCTTTGTAGCTCAGAGGTGAGGTGCGGGAGAAGGCGCTAGCGGCACGCAGAAAGCAAGGGAAGCCGGGGGAGAGGACAGCAACAGCCAGAGAGACTTGCTCAAGGCCACGCAGCCATCAAGGCCAGAGCCAAGCTCAGGCAGACGCTTGTCCCCATCGCTGCTCCCTTTAGCTGCTGGCAAAGCGGAGCTCTCTGCAACCTCCACGCTCCAAGGTGCTCCACCCCTTCCTCCTCTGTCCCCCTGGTTGCCGGTTGTCACTTTACAGTCTGGTGGGAGTTGTTTCCCAGGTAGCAACTACAGGATTGACAATGAGAGGGGCGTGTGCTGAGTAGTAACCCGTAGCTGGCTGAGTGAGTTCGGGGATAAACAGACAACTCTGGGGCTTGCGGCAGCCAGTCGTCCCGGGGAACCTTGCGCCAAAGGTTCCCACAGGCTTTCAGAAACTCAGTGCTGGCTGCGAGAATGAGGTTCCAGAGCGGTGGCTGGCATTTGACACAGGCTGTCCCTCTCCAGAACGGTAAGGTTTGTCTATCTCAGCTCTCCGCCTCGTTCCTTTCTCTTCCGTGGGGCCTGCAGGCCTTCGTGCTCTCATGGCCCCCCGTGGCATCGCATCTTCCATTGGCTCTCGATGTGTGCACAATAAAATCATCTTTCTGGAAAGAATGTCGCAGTGGCTTGTATGCTCTATTTTAGGCCTCCATTTCAGAAATCAGGAGTCTTAAGACAAAGGAACACATTTGTAATTGAAAAGCTCAAATGTCCGCCAGCAAGTGGGTGGGTTAATAAAAAGATACCGGGAGAAGGCACCCTTCCGGCACCCCTGAAGTCATCCTTCTGGCTCGGAGTGTCAACATTCTCACTTGGAAAGCAGCATGTATAGCTGGGAAAGTCTCACCGACCCTGATACGGTTGGGTGGAAAGGGCATGGGCTCTGGAGCCAGACTGTCTGGGGTCACATTCCAGTTTTGTTACTGCCTAGCGCTAAGATTTTATACAAGTTACTACATGCTTGGTGCCTCAGTTTCCTGGTTCTATAAAGCAGGATACTTACAAGAGCTCACTCACCCACGCTTACAGGGAGGAATTTAGAGAGCTGGGCCATATGCAGTCACTTAGCGAGTGCCTGACAGGATGGGTGGCTCTTAGGGAATTAGTATCTAGTCTTGCCGTATTCTCAAGTCCCTGGACTACGTAGGTCACTTTGGGGAAACTCAGCACGATTCAAACTGTGAAGCTTGTGCTGTGTGCCCAGCCTTGAGCTGCGGGCACTGTGGGAAGCACAGCAGAAATTCCCCTAGGGGGAGCTGTTCTGGAGCAGCCTCCTTGGCAGGATGTCTTCAGCTTCCTCTCAGGAGCCTCATCTGGAAGCTATGTGCAGAGGGCCAGGCTCTCTCTTGCACAGAAGAGCAAGAAGTTTAAACTGGGTTCTGCAATCAGGCTGGCGTATGTTGAGTCCTTCTCTTTGCCTCTTCACTGTGGTGTGACCTTGGGCAAGGCACACAACCTCCTCATGCCTTGCTTTCCTCACCTGGAAAATGGGCATCATAATTACATCTTTATACATGTACCCAATCACTTATGTACTAAATGCATAAGATTTATAAGTATTGCTTTATACAGTCATCTCTTTTAATCACATAGAAAAAGGGGGTTATAAAAATACATTTACCTTTAAATATTACACTTACCAATGTTATTTCTTTATTTCTTCATGCGCATTCAAATTACTGTCTAATGTCCTTTTGTCTAAAGTGAAATCCTGAGGGATTCGTTTTACCATTTCTCACAGTGTGGAGCCCCTAGCAACAAACACTGTCACTTTTTACCCGGAAATATTTCATTTCTCTTTCATTTTGAGACAATTGTTTTACCAGAGCGAATTCTTGGTTGACTTTTTTTTCTTTTCAGTACTTTGAATATGTCTTCCCCCTGTCTTCTGACAGGTGTGTCTGTGTATTTTTTTTCCCTGTGGTCAAGGAATTGAACCAAGGGCCTTCTGCAAACTAGAAGAGGGCTCCTCCATGAGCCGCACCCCAGGCCCGTGGTTTCTGATGAGAAGTTAACTGTTAATCTTGTTGAGGACCCCTCGTGTGTAAGGGTCACTTCAGTGTCTCTTCTTAGGAGATTCTCTTTGCCTTTGGCTTTCAACAATTTGATTATATTGTTCTGGGAGTGGATCTTGTTGAGTTTATCTTATATGGAGTTGGTCGAGCTTCTTGGATGTGTAAGTTAATATTTTTAACTAAACTTGTGGAAAAATTGGCTATTATTTAAATATTCCTTCTACTTTTTTCTCTCTCTCCTCTAAGATACCCAATAAGTATATATTGATATGCTAGATGAGTCCCACAGATCTCTGGGGGAATCATCATTTCTCTGCCTTTTTTCTTTATTTCTCACACTGGATAATAGCAATAGCATCAAGTTTGCCCAGTCTGCCTTTTGCCTGTTTAAATCTGCCGTTAAACCTCTCCAGTAAATATTTCAGTTATATTTTCAACTCCAGACTGTTTTTTGAGACAGGGTCTTGCTGTGTAGTTCAGGCTGGCCTTGAGCTCACTATGTAGTCCAGGCTGGCCTCAGACTAGCAGTTCCCCAGCTTTAGCCTTCCTAGTGCTGGGATTGCAGGTGCGCACCACCACACCCAGCTAGATTTATATTTTTAAATAACTTCTGTTTATATTCTCTATTTATTGTGATACCATTCTCATACTTTCCTGTAGATCTTAGCCATAATTTTATTTAACTTTCTGAACATATTTGAAATACCTGATTTATATCTACCTAAAATGATCAATGAGAAGGCTTCTTGGGGCAGTTTCTATTAATTGGGTTTTTCCCTGTGTGTAGGCTATTTCTTTGCAAATCTCAAAATTTTTGTTGAACACTGGACATTTTTAATATTATATGTGGTAATGCTGAAAATCAGATTCTCTTTCCTCTCCAGGGTTTGCTGGTGTTGTCACTTGTTGTAATGGTATTTGTTTGTTTGGTGACATTCTGTTTGAACTTCTCCCAGAGGTGGTTGATCCTAGCTCACAGCTTCAGTTTACAAAGTATAACTCCCCCTACTGTTTGTTTTGGCTGCCCCACAGCTCTTTTGATGAAATTTGAGGCCAGTCTTTGGAGGCAGTTATAAATATCAAGTTTGTCTTGATGCTTTTTAGATGTCAGCTCAGCAATCTCTATTCATATAACTCATAAATCAAAAGGCCAATCAACACTCACTATCTAGAAGGAGAAAATATTAGAAATTTATTTGGTTTAAAAGATCTCCTGCTACTCTTCCAAAAGGCTTGAAAAGTTCCCCTAAGGAGAATAAGCCACAACCCAGGAGAACTGAAATTCACATTTCTAGATGCTTCTAGAATTCTTCCATTCCCAAACTTCTCCACATTTGAGGTTTGAGGACCAATTCCTGGAAACTAGAGTTGTCACAGTTCTGGAGTGTGGCCAGGCAGGGGTGCCTGAGTGAAGGAAGCTCTGCCTGCACAGCAAAGAGGGCAACCTTCATGGCTGTCCATTGGTAAGCAGGGCCCGGGGCAGAAGGACCGGACAAGTAGGCTGAAGAATATGCAAGAAGGTCTTCAGTCCTGCACAGGGGTAGGAGGAGGGAGAGGAAGTGGGAATGCAAAACAGGCAATGAGACAAAGAGTGCTCCTAAGTTGGGTGCCCCCTGGCAGCCTAGAGCAAGAAGCAGCTTGCTTTTTCTCATGCCATATTTTCACCAAGCACTTTTTATTTTTGTTTTTAAGTAGTAAAAGTGCAACCTAGGGCCTTGCATATGGTAGGCAACTGCTCTACCACTGAGCTGCACCCCCAGGTTTTGGACACAGGGTGTCACTAAGTTGTCTTGTCTGGTTTTGAACTTGTGATCCTCCTGCCTCAGCCACCAAGTAGCTTTTAATATTATTATTTGTGGGGCTTGGGATGTAGCTCAGCAGCACAGCTCTTGCCTGGCAAGCGTGAGGTCCTGATTTTGATTCCCGTTACCCCCCTCAATATTGTTATTTGTGTTTTGGAAATGTACCTCAGCTGTCAACCTTACACATTCATTTCATAGGTATTTATCAGCTCTCAAGGCATTGGGGATAGTGAGATGAGTAAGACAGAACCATTCCCCCATGGCTATGGGGGAAACTCATGTATAGAGTATGATATTATAACGAGAGCAAGACTGTGACTGAGGGACAGCCAGGGAGCTGGAGCCCCAAGGAGGGCCCTCACTTTAGCCTGGAGCAGGGGCCGGAAGTAGGATTGTGCGTGGTCTGTGGCAAGTGGTAATTACTGACCTGAATCCTGCACAAATTTGTCAATTGCTGTTGGCAGGAGGAGCGTGTGAGGGTGCGTACATCCTAGAGAAAAGGAGCAGTGAATGCAGATAAAAGCCTGGGAGTTTCTGGTATGTGCTAGCGCATTCAAAAGTGGAAAGAGCACTTTGGAAGGTGGACATAAGGCACATAGAGGGGTTCACAAGGAAATGAGATGAGAAAGCTAAGTAAGTTCAGATTACAAAACTCCCTGCACGTTGTAAGGTGGCATCTGTGCTTTATCTTAGAGCTCATGAGGGAGGGAGGCTTTCATAGGGGAATGACCTGCATGGCGCAGGAAGGTGGTTGAGAGTGCAGCGTGAAATCCTGTCACCTGTGACAACATGGATGGACCTGGAGGACATTACATGATGTGCCATAAGCCAGGTGCGGAAAGACAAGCACAGCATGATTTCACTTATATGGAATAGAGAAAGCTGTTCACACCAAGTTGAGAGTAAAATGGCGGCTAGCAGAGACTAGAAGGGGTGAGGAAAGTTTGGTCCGCGGTGGCATTAAGTTCTAGTTGGCTAGGAGTAAGTTCCGGTGTGCCATTGCTCAGCAAGGGGAGTACATCAAGATGACACACTATGCATTTTAAAAAGCTAGAAGAAGGAGTTTGTAATGTTTTCACCATAAAGACATGAGAAGTGTTCATAGATATGACGTAGATGCACAGGTGGTCACCACCTACTATGTGCATGAATCAAAACATCACACTGGGGCAGGGATGTAGCTCAGTGGTAGGGCACTTCTGTGGCGTGCTCAAGGCCCTGGATTCCAACCCGGCACCACATAAAGGTCACACTGTAGCTCGTAAATATGTGCGAACATTGTGTCAACCAAAATAAAATTTAAGAAAAGGAGTGTAGAATCCATTTGCTAGTGATGTTCAGTATGTAGTCCCTATATACCATTAGCAGTGCTGTCATCGGGAACTTATTAAAAGTGCAAATTCTTGGTGCCCAGCTCAGACCTACTGAAGCAGAAACCAGAGATGGCACCCAGTCATCTGTGTCTTAAACTCTTCATGTGATTCTGATGCCTTCTAGCCAAACTACATAGGTTACAATCCTAGCCCTCCCCTAGATAACCTGGGGCAAGTTCTCTCTGAGCCTCAGTTTTCCCCACTGTAAAATGGGAATTTTAAAGTTGTTATGAGGATTAAATAAATTAAGGTATATGAAGTGCTTAGAAAAATACCCAG